TCAACTAATGTGAATAGATATGATCTTTGTAATAATGTCATCCTATATTAGGACAGTTATGCCAATTTTCAATACAGTATATATAATTTAGAGCATTTCTACTTTAGAAAAGTAAAACAAAAAAGAATCTTTGACTACTGCCATCACTAGTTTGATTGTCTACATTGGTTTCGTGTAAAACAAAATAAAAATTTCTTTATGTTTGCTACTTTGTACATTGGTGGATTTGATTATTTGTTTCACACTGAACATTCTAATACTTTAAGCCCTTTCCATACAACCATATTTAACAGCTTTGGCTGAAACACAGAATTTGGTGATTTCTATCTTGTTGAAATTGACCTCAGCTTTCATCCCATCACTAAGGGGAAAAAAAGCACTCCAGATTGCACAAATGTTTTGGTGGTGGCCCTAGATAGATACAGGGACTGGATCTGTGCTTTCATAGGAAACTCTTTCTACCAGTATAGGTTGGCACCTTTTCTGCAACTTAATAGCTTGAGAGTTCAATGCATTGAGAAGTTAAGTGATTTGTCCAGAGTCCCAGAGTCAGTATATATCAGAATCAGAACTTAAATCCATGTCTTCTGGCATTCAGTCAGCTCTCTATCCATTATGCTGAACTGCCTCTCATCCCCAGATATTATTCTTCTTTTGAAGAAGTATAGTTTTCAGAAATTTCCTAAGTATTGTATACTTTAGTATTAGTAAATAAGCCTCTTGCTGAGCACCTAACAAGCAAGAGTGAGATCTAACAAGGGGACAGTCTGAATGCTACACTGCAATCCACAAAATATTAAAAGAACAGAAGAATGTCTGGTTCATTGAATAGATTCTCCATTGGAGGACTTATGAAAAGACATGGGATGAAGTGAAGGTAAAGGAAGCCTCCATAATTAAAAGATCATGGATCAATTGAAATATGAAAGTGTGTATTTCACTGCATTTAAAATACTACAAGAAGTTTTATTTTTGTATTTTGACATTCAAGTTGAATTGAATATTTGTATGCTCAATTTGAAAATTTCTCAAGATAGAAGTTCCCAAAATTAGTGGCATTTTCCTATCTTCATGATTATTAAATTTGCTTTTTAATCATATTTAAGCAGGGAATTATATTTCCTTATTCAGAAGAGTAAAGTGATTTAATGTTAACTTTTTTTAAAAAAATTGGTAATATCAATTGAACATGTTTATTGAGCATGTGATATGTGCAAGGCATGGGATGTAAGAAACAGTAAGGTATAGTTACTGTTTTCACAAAGCTTTTGGTTAAGTAGTCAATCATATTAATGAAGGTATGAAATATAGATTGTCTAGAGGCCAATAATCTAAAATTTACTTTTCCTAAAATAGACATAGTTTTTTTTTAAGGATAGCAGGAATAAAATTTCACTTTCACATTGTTGGCTATACGTTAAGCCCCTGAAGGTAGAGGGCTTTATATCTCTGTAGCTCCTAGCATCCAGCCAAGTGTGGGGTATGATACATAGTAGCAATGTAGTACATGTTGTCGGATTGAAGTGAACTTATGTAGCAAAATATACGTATTTTGTTCTTTGTATCAATGGATGATATAATTATTTTCCCTTTGCTTTAAAATTTTACAAGATTAGTTTTAACTTGATTTATTAAATATTATTATTGATAATTATTATAATTTAATAAATGAATTGACTTTTGTGTGATACTTCTGGTGAAATTAACCTGAGACATTACATACAGCTTGTTCTTTGAAAATGAATTACTTGTAGTTGTTAGTAAAGAAAATAAAAATTGTATTACCATAGTAAAAATAATAAAAGTTGACTTACATTTTTAGAATTAAACATTCTTGCTAGAAAACAAACTCAAAAGTTCTTTCTGAAAAAATAAACACCAATTTTCAAATCCCAGTGAATTCAAAGTTGATATGACATTGGTGAAGACAACTTGGGGGGACATGACATTTTCAGATATTTTAAATGTCATATGTGTTTTTCTAAAAGGCCTCAGAGGACAAGAGGAGGAACAATAAGTTGGAATGGCAGAGAGGCAAATCTTTGATCAATGTAAGGGAATACTTTCCAACAATTAGGGCTGTTTAGAAGTGGAATGCCCTTTGGTTGATAAAAAAGTTCACCATCATTGTAGGTCTTTAAGAGGAAGCTTGGCAAGTTATAAAGGTTCATGTTAGACTGAATGACTTTTGAGGATACCTTCATCACTGAATACTCTCTGAGTTTTGTTGCACTGATGTTTTTCTGCATAATTACAACTAAGGAATTAGGTTTATTCAGATGTACAAAGAGGCATTCAAATGTACAGAGGCAGTTGGGTGGGTCAGTGCATAGAGATCTAGGTCTGGAGTTAGGAAGACCTGAGTTTAAATCTGGCCTCAGATATTAGTTGTGTGTGCCTGGGCAAGTCATTTGACCTCTGTTTGCCTTAATCCACTGGAGAAGGAAATGGCAAATCACTCCAGAAAACCCCCTGGACAGTATTGGCATACTATAGTCATGAAGAGTCTATACTACTAAACAACTAGGAACTCAGAACAGTTGGGAAGTGAGTTTTTCTTCTTATTAGCATAGCTAATTATTCAAATAAGAGCTCAACAACAAACCACAAGAAATACACAAAACATGTCCATGAGTATTCTTATAACATTCCTATAAAATATGAATCAAGGAAATTACAATAAATTTGGATCACATTTCTTTGGGAAATAGTTGTGCTTTTAATGTCCCAAGCTTCTCCCTTAAAGGTACATATTTTTAACATTAATTTTTTCTAGTGATGATGAATAGCTGTACATCATAAACCACAGTCTGTGAAGAATTAAAGCCAAGGGTCAACAAAATGGCAACAGAAAGATGTGAGGTGGGTGCCAGTAGATTGTAATACATTTCCAACAAAATAGCCTAGGAGGCAAATGAGATCTGTGATGTGCTTGGCAACCTTTAAAGTGGCATCTAAATGTGAGCTGTTATTATTATTAAAACATAACTGATGAAAAGCCTAGGAGCTCCCTTGACATCTACGTAACTAATTTCAAGATATAGAGGAAGGTACCCAGAAGGTTAGGTAGATTACTCCCTGCCCATTTGATAGGATAAAAAGGATAGGTTGTGATTATGTACCACTGGAAGGTGAACAATATTGATGAGATCACAAATCCACTGAAATCTGGAGGTTATTCTTTGGACATTGTATTCATCTTAAAGTAATTCTTAGAAAATCTATTTTAAATTTAAATTTTAAGGTTTTAATTTTTAATTTTTTTTAAATTAAAATTATTTTGAACTTCAGTTTTTGTTCCACACCAATGATCTAAGTCTTTGAAGAATGAAAGTTTCAGGTCCTCCAAAGGACAATAAAAACATATATAATGGGCATGATTAGGTGGAGCATCTTTTACTAATGTAGAACTATTCATGTATGAGTGGGAAAGGAGATAGACGGATCTTGTAGCAAGAACGAGGCACAACCAATGGAAAGCCCATGTGCTGTGTTGGCATCCAATACATCAGGGGATTTGGAGGAGAAGGATCTTTTAGATAGTGGAGTTGCAGTAGAGATTAGGGTTGTGGGGGAGGAGTGACAGTGATGCAAAAAAAAAAAGCATCAATGAAAGGCTTATTCATTGATTGAATGATTAAGAACACAGACAAATTTTGAAATGATCCCTGTTGTTAAGAAGCCCATGCTCTATGAGAGGAAACAATAACAACTAACACATATAATGTTTACTGTGTGCCAGACACTGTGCTAAGTGCTTTGCAAATACTATCTTATTTGATCCTCACAACAACCCTGGGAGGTAGGTACTATTATTATGCCCATTTTACAGATTTTACAATCCAGGATTAATTGTGGCCAAGTCATCTGAATCCCATGAGCCTTTAGTTTTCTCGTTTGCAAAATGGGGGTGATCACTGAGAAATCAGAAAGTGAAGAGCTTCCAGAACTAGTTGGTATTTTACATTAAAAGTAACTGAAGCCATGGAAGCTTGACATGGCCAGACTTGTGTTTTAGAAATGTCAAATTTGGAAGCTAGATTTATGATAGACTATCACAATAGTCCAGGTAGGGGGTAAGAAGAGAACACTCAGGTGGGTCTTGATAGCAGACAAGTACTAGAAAAGCTGTCTTGCGGAAGAGGGATTAGACTTGAATTAGGAGCAATGTGAGGAAGGTGGTGAGAATCAATTATATATTTGATGTGGTGGTGGTGGGAGGCTGGGGAGGAGAACTATATGGAAACCACCTAAAAACAGAATGGATTTCCTGGGGATGGGGTGTGCATCCCCCCCCCCCTTGGGGGAGGTCTTTAAAGCAAAGGTTTTTCAAGGGCGCTGTATACTGGATTTCGGCGGGGAGGGGGGGGGGCATGGATTCCCCAGAGGGTTGCTGAGGTCTCTTCCAGCGCTGCAATCCTGACGCCTGCATTTATTTATGAGTTATGTGTGCTTGGGTTTTTTGTTTGTTTTGTTTTTTAGGATTCTTGGGTTGTTCCTCGTAGTCTCCAGAACCGGGTCGGTAACTTCAGGAGGGGGCGATCTTTTAGCTTCTTCGACTTCTTTTCCTAAGGCTTGGAAGACGCACCCTCGAGGTCTGACTCCCCTGAGTGGGCAGACGATCCGGGAGGGAGAAAGGGGGTAGCGAAGCTCAGGACATCTCAGGACACCCACCGGTTCATGTGGAGAAATCTAGTCCACGGAGCAGGCAGGGTGATCCGTCAACCTGTCTAGCTCTTATCTTCTCCGCCTTCCCTCCTCTTCAGATCCAGGTCTCCCTTACCTTCGCGCCGGGCATCAGTGAGTCAACTGCTTGCGCGCGGGGCGCTCCCTCCTCTGCTCCCGATCTCCTCCGCGTAGGCGGGGACTTCGGGAGCGGGGGTGGGGCGTTTGTTTTCCCCCACCTACCCGAGCGGTGACAGCGAATCCGCGCGCCTCTTTCCCCGAGGCCCCGCCTTTTCCTGTTGACCCGGCAGGAAGTGAAGAGGTATGTAGTGGGGGGGGGGTTCTCAAGATGGCTGCGCCCGCGATGTTACAGTTGACTGAGAAGCCGAAGTAAGGCGGGCTGGGGGACTCGAGAGGGAGCGCTGTCAGGCACTGCAGGGAACGGCTGGGAGGAAAAAGAGGACGGCCCTGTGCCCGCTTCTGTCACCTGCCTTCGCCGCCACCGGGGTGGTGGGATGAGGGGCCTGGAGCCGGGGCCGGGATGGGAACCGGGGAGGCCTCCCCACAAGCCAGAAGTCACAGTTACCTGAGGGCGGGAGGGGGGCGTGGGGCCCCGCGGCAGGACCACCAAATGACCCTGCGTGTCTGCCTTCCAGCCATAAGAAGTACCGAGCTGCTCTGAAGAAAGAAAAACGCCGCAGACGGCGGCAGGAACGGGCTAGGTTGAGAGACTCAGGTAAGGGCCGTCCCGCCCTTGCCTTCCCTGGTTATTGTAACCCCCGACGCTGGGGTGGGGAAGCGAGGACACCGACATCTACCCTTCCTCTCATCGAGGTGTGCTTGGTTTAAAGTTACACGGTCGGTTAACAGCATCCGCAGTTGTCCTCTGGACTTGTCAGACACAGAACTGGAAGGATTAGAAAACGCCGGCTCCCAGAGGGCTTTGCAGGCTTTCAGGTGTGATCCGTGATTAACATTCTTAAGTTGAGTGACTGTCACGCAGAACACGGCGTGATGTCCCCGGATTAGCATCCGCTGTGTGCGTGGGACTCCTCGTCCCAAGTGGGGACCTAGTGGGGAGGGCAGATGCTCGATGAGTATTTGTGGATAATCACTTCCAACTCCTGATGCCTGCCAAGCTGGCAGCACAGCGTAGTGGAGAGAATACGGGAATTATGCAGAACACCTGCTTCCAACACTGATCGAGCAGTCCACGATTAATTGTGGCCAAGTCATCTGAATCCCATGAGCCTTTAGTTTTCTTGTTTGCAAAATGGGGGTGATCACGTGCACTAAAGATATCTCGAGGGGTTAGTTTGAGGAAAGCAGTTTATAAATAATAAAGCAGATTTAAATGTGAGCTGTTGTTATTTGCATTGGAGTAATAAACAGTAGTTATTGTGAGTTTATTCTCTTTGATCTGTGAAGGTACTGAATGAAGTGCAAAAGCTGGATGACCTGCTAGAAGAGTTAGCAAGAATAAGCTAGGTATTGGAGGTGATATTAACCATTCCTGATCTGTGAGGATACAGAAAGAAGCACAAGAGGTTGATAACTTGTCCATAGTAATGGAGTTAGCAATAATAAGATAGGTAGTGTAGGTGATCCTATTGTGATCTTTGAGGACACTGAGTGAAGCACAGGAGGCTGGTGTTGACTTTCCAAGCTAATAGAGATAGTAGCAGGAACAAGCCTAAAACGAGTCTCCTAAATCCCAATTCCAGGCTTTGTTAAAACACAGCTATTTCTCACTTCCTTATCCTGTGGCATTGTTCAGATGCTTGGGAAAAGTAGGCAGGAGAAACATAAAAGAAAAATATTTTGGTTATGTTAGGCTTGTTGAACCATTGTTATGACCCAGTGTAGTATTAAAGTTCTCAATGCAGTGCCAGATACATGGTTGATAATCGAATAGTGGTAATCTCTGGATACCTCTGTCTTCCTTGCTTTCATTTTTTTTCTCCCTTAGGCTCCTATATTCTCTTACTGTTGCCCATGTGATTTATATTTGTTTCAGCCTGGGTTTCTCATACTTGATTATCTAGTCCCTACAACTCTCTTTTTATACAGATTCTTCTTTACTGGCTTTTGGAGCACCAGGGCACTTTGGTGCTCAGCGACTAGAGCCAGTACAGGCCATGCTCTCTCAACCTCTTTTCTAATGGCCAGCCTTTATTGAATTGTGTTGACTTTTTTTTTTTTTAATTTCTCCAAATGACCTCTGAGCTCATTACGGTTTTGATCTTCTATTCCTTTGAACCCTGAGTAAGTCTGCCTTTCTTTGACAAATTAAGTAGCTTTTCTCCATAAATTAGCAATTATCTCTTAAGAATCCTTATTTATCATTGTTGATCCAGACCTATAATTTCATTGACATAAGGAACTATGTAGATGATGAAAGGCCAAAACAAATTGGCAACTCATTTGTAATTCATGGTCTTAGAGAATTGGATGGGATAATGAAATGTTAAGTGACTTGCTCATACTCTTATAGGTGGGGGATATGAAAGGGGAGATGCTGCTAGGTGACACAGTGGATGGAGTCTGGAAGACTCATTTTTTTGAGTTCAAATCTGGCCTCAGACACTTACCAGCTGTGTGACCCTGGGCAAGTCACTTAACCCTGTTTGCCTCAGTTTCCTTATCTGTAAAATGAGCTGGAGAAGGAAATGGCAAACCGCTCCAGCATCTTTGCCAAGAAGATCCTAAATGGGGTACAAAGAGTTGGACACGACTGAAAGGACTGAACAAGTAGAGGTGGGATTTAAACATAGGACTTTCTGGCTCAAGGCTACCTCTCTATCACCATGCTTCTTTAGTGTATTTTTTAAGGCATCAACTTGATGTAGTGGATAAAATAGGTTCAAATAGCACCTCAGATTCTTAGTAACTGTGTGAATGTTGACAAGTTGCATAACTTCTCTGGGCTTCAGACAACTCTTTAAGATTCTAACTCATTATTAGACTAGGTTACAATCTGCATCATTGGAGGGAGTTTCTGTACCTGGATTTCCCACATCACTGAAATCATGGGTATTTGATTTGTTTACAGATTATCACCCCTTCTACGTGCCATACGTATACACTGATACAGTCAGTTCTTAGGGAGCCATCAAAAGAAAACCAGCTCAAGAAAAATGTGATGTTATTTAGTTCTCATCTACCATTAGCTCTAAAGTTTCTCTGGAGCTAATGAGTTTTCTCCGGGATGAATTGTATAGGATCCTAAGATCATATGCCTAGAGCTAAAAAGGATTTCAAAGGCCATCTAGTCCAACCTCCTTTTTTACAAATAAGGAAGCTGATACCCAAGGAGGTTAAGTGACTTGTCCAAGATCTTACACTTGGTAAGCATCAGAGACAATGGTAAATAATTTCAAGTCAATCTTGCCTTCTAGAGGAAATGACAAAATAGCTTTTTCTTCCATAACAAAGAATAAACATTTGTGTTTTAAAATAAAAAAAAAATAACCTATTGAGCTACTTAGAAGGGATGCATGTAGTAATAGACTTAAATGCTAGGGGTTGAAAGTTTTTCATACCTATATATTTAGTTAAAATTACTATTTACACTAACATTATTTAAAAGTATGATTTCTGAAATCCTTGGAGTTACAGGTTGTTGGTTCAGTTGTACAATACTGTGAACTTTTCAAATTTGAATTTATGGGTAGAAGGAAGAATATTCTCTGAAGTTATTAGAAAAAATGTTATTACCCATTTTATCATGATTGGTAATTAAATTTTTTTTTTCCTGAAATGCTAAGGAAAGTTGTAGAGCTCCTAGGAATTTAAGTAAAATATTCCTATTCCTTCAGGACTGTCACAGAACGATGAAGAGGAAGATGAATCCATTGTTGAACAACTGGAAGAAGAGGAAAAACAGTTAGAAGCTGAAAGGTCAGTAGTGATCTAACATACATTAGTTTAAAGAGTAAAAACATTAACACTCATATTGTGGGGTAGTACTAAGACCTACTATAAAGCCCACAGCCTTATGTTGTATTTACCAAATTTTTTGTTGCTAGTTACACTTTGGGGCAGCATACAATAATTTAGAAATTGGTACAGCAAGCTTGTGCCATTTCAGAGACTGGTCAAGGGGTCCCCCTAAATTTCAGGGTGAGGAAAAAAATAATCTCTTCTTGAAGAGCACACAGTGAAGTCTTTAAGAGTAAGATTGGGAAGACAAAGGATGGTGCCTTACATTCTACCATAGATAGTATGTAAATAACTTGAAACATATAAAGTATATACAGAGTAGAAAGAAGGTAATCTGAAAGGGGGAGGCACTAGCATCTGGGGCAGCCAGGACAAGACTCCTTCAAGAAGGTGAACTTTGAGCTGAACCTTGATAGAGGTCAAGGAAATAAAGAGAAAAAGATGAAGGGGCTAGGATGGGAGATGTTTAGTGTAAAGGCATAGATATAGGTGATGAAATGTCTTGATTCAGGAACTGCATGTAGGTCATAATTGGTTGTAGGTAGAGATCTGGTTGTGAAGGACTTTAAATGCCAAAAATACCCCAAAACCCTTTATATTTTATTCTGATGATAATAGAGAGCTATAGAAGCTCATTGAATAAGGGTGGTGACATAGTCGAACTTAGTCTTTGTCAAAAACAAACAAACAAGCCAAAAACTTTAGCAACTGAATAGAGAATGAGTTTAGTAGAGTGAGACTTGAGGGAAACCAGTTAAAGGCTATTGTAGTAGTCCAGGCAAAAGGTGATGGCTGTGTGAGCACAGAGATGGGGATATAGAGGAGAGATATTGTAAAGGAGAAACACAATTTGGCAATGGATTGGTCAGTTAGTGGATAAGCATTTATTAAGAGCCTTCTCTGTGCCAGGCACAGAGATTGGATGCCTAGGGTGTGTGTGGATTGAAGGATAACACCAAGGTCACAGGTCTGAGTGACTGGGAGAGTGATTGTGATATCAGCAGTAATAGGGAAGTTCATAAGGGAGCTTTAGGGGGGAAATAATGAATTCTGTTTTGGACTTGTTGAACTTTAATCCAGTTTTGAAATGTCTAAGACATTTGGAGATGCAAGACTCCAATTCACCTAGTTTCTTATATTAAAACCTTGATATTACTGTTTCTAATTTTCCACAATTAATTACTTGCCAAGTTCTTTTGATTCTACTCTGTAATAGCTCTTCTGTCCAACCCTCTTTATTCCCACAGCTCGCACTGTAGTATTGCCTTTCATTATTTGTTCTGTACCTAGCAGGTTATTTGGTATGTAGTAGATGCTTAATAAATGTTGACAGTACCCTTCTAATTGGTTTAATAGTATTCATTTCTCCTAATCCATTCTTCCTAATTCTTCCAGATTAATTTTTGTTATGTATAACTATATCAGTGGCTTCTTATTGCCTATTAAATTAAGTTGAAACTCCTTATCTAGACATTCAAAGTACAAGTAGCTATTTTTTTTTCAGCCTTATTTTATACACCTCTACTACTTAACCATCCCCTGTACAGTGTTGCCTTTTATAATTTCCTAGATCTGGAATACCTTATCTAACAGATGGGAATGTCCTCCTGCCTGTTAAACTCTTAGTCATACTTTAAATTGAAATTTTCTTCCTCCATTAAATGGTTCCTAATTTCCCTAGTATGCAGTGATCTGCTCTCCAAGACCACATAAAGCACTTTATACTTCTCTTAAATACTTATCATGTATATTTTTGTATTATAATTTTTTGTCTGCATATCATATTCCTAAATAAACAGCGATTTCCATGAGAGCAGGGAGTGTCTTATCTAAATTTTCTTTAGCACCTCGCACAGTTTGTTGGCCCTTTAAAATGTTGTATAAAGCCATATTCAAATATGTGTCTGGATAGACAGTTTGCTTTTTATGAGTATTTGATTGTATTGGTAGGCAAAAATTACATGAGGAGTGGTTGCTGAGAGAACAGAAGGCCCAAGAAGAATTTAAACTAAAGAAGGAAAAGGAAGAGGCAGCAAAAAGACGTCAAGAAGAGGAAGAGGTGTAGTACTAATCAAAACCAAAATGATTGTTAATTTTAATTCAGCTAACTGGTGTTTATTCGTGACAGTTTTTAAAACAAATACATTTTGAAATGAGAATTGATATTTTAAATTGTTGATACCCATTGAAACATTTTTAATTTAGTTTATGTCTACTTTATCCATTTATTTACATTTTGACTTTGTACATTGGCTTAAATGTTTGGTTTTTGAAAGGTGATTCTATAAAAATCTTACCTTCCCCCTTCGCCCCCTTTTTTTTAAGAGAAAAATCAAAGAAGAATGGGAAGAACAGCAAAGGAAAGAGAAACAGGAAGAAGAACAGAGACAACAGGAGAAGAGAGACAGAGAGGTGATTCCTGTCCTAGGAGGATAAACGCACTGCGTATCCTCTTATAGTGTCACATAATGGATAATGGGCATAAAGAATAAGCTTTCGAAGTAAAATTCTGAATTTTACTTTAAATTTTAGAAGAAATATGTAAACATCATTTAGATATAAAGTGGAACTTCACTATTAGGCTAATCGTTAGTCTGTGTGTGGTAGTTGAAACCACCTTAAAATGAGGTCCTTCAGTAGTGGTATTTAGGAACTTTTGATGCTGATTTATACTCTGTAGCAAGTAGTGATAATAGTAAGGTTTCAGTAAATCAGCTTTTCAAGAGATGATATATATTTTACTTCTTGCAGAATTTTATTTCATATCGGATTTGATAATTTCTGTAACATCTCAGCGAATATGTGTTTGTCATACATGCTTGTGTATATATGTATTTATACACACAAGTATACACATATATATGTGTGTGTAAATATTTGGATTAGATGAGTTGTTAGAGTACTTTGGGGAAATATTTTTTAAGAAGGGGCATTGTCAGATTTAGATTTGCTTACCAATTCAGGCTACTAACAACCAATTCTAGCTATTGTTTAATTTCTTTTCATATAAGAAATTTGGTATATTTTGGGTTGTACCTTTTTGAAACTTTTGACTTGGATATCTTGCTGCTGCTCCTTAACAGTGTATTTATTCAAAAGCTGTCACAGCTCATCTTTCCTTGACTGGTTCATCAGGATGTATCTTTTCTATAAATTATTGAGTGGGAACAAGATAGAATTGGGTAGTTGATGTTATTAAATGGGATAAAATAAAGTGTGGTAGATCCTTGGTTTTTGAGCCTGTTAGCATCATCTGCCAGATTATCAGGGTAATTTACAATGACAGCATTTAATAATCAGATTTGAATATTGTTCCCTAGTTGTTAGAATAAGGGATAGCTTGGATCATTTCCTTTTTAATAAAAGCACTTCATTGCTTGATAATGATACCTTGTGTTAGAATTCAGTCAAGACCTAGGCTACAAATTGCTATGTAAAAAAGCAAATTTAAATTTATGATCACTAAAACTCTTGTGTATTATTTTATTTTTATGTGGTCCTGATAGAGACTCTTTGTTCTAAAATTGCAAGGGACAAAGACACTTGATCAATTCCAAGTATACTACTGACTTTCCCTAAGTAACAGTGGGAAATCCTATCATTTTACAGCACAAAGTCCCCTAAGCAGTATTTGACAGGACCATAGGCTGTAGATGTATAAGAGATCTTATGGATCATCTATTTGGGAGTCCTCATTTTACAAATGAGGAAACTAAGGCTGGGACAGATGAAGTGGTTTAGTTCAGATCACAGTAAGTAGCAGAATCAGAAATCAAATCCAAGCCCTCTGATTCCAAGTGGTATAACTTCTCCTTTCTTGAACTGCTTCAGGAGCATGAGCAGAACCACTTACACAAAACTTCTAGTTTAGTGCTCAAGAGACAGGGCACACAGGATTTCACCACAACCAAAGGAAATAGTCAAAGAAGCTGATAACAGGAAGTACTCATTTCAGCAACCGTTAAGGACCTACTATTTGTGAGGCCATGTGTTAGATTCTAGGGGAATTATAAGACTCATACTATAAGAGTGACTGAGAAGAGGGTTGAAAAATGTTGCCTGAAGTAATATATTACTAGGCAATGTATAAGAAACATACAGTGATCATCACTTGAAAGCATTAGAGGAAATCTCTTGCACAGGTCCCTTGCACATACCTTAGGTTATGGTAGCTAGAAGTTTGTACAGTGTAGGTAGAGTTTGATTTGTCTTATTAATGAAAATGAAAATTTTACCACCATTAATCCCAGTTATTAATGTTAGGATTATAGATTATACAGAATTTTTCATTAAATTTCTTGTTGCTTTTTAAAATGCATTTTGTGGTGCTCATTACAATGATTTTTTTAAAGAAATGAGTTAGTGTCTATGGGAAAATGTGCTGCTACTGTAGCTTATTACAATTTCTTATTCAGAATAACTTAAGATGTTTAGTATTCTTTAAGTCCACCACTTGGATGAAAATTTTCTCAGCTGTATCCTTTAATAGTTTTTTTTTAGGGGATCTTTATAGTAGAAAGCTAATAAGTTTTAAGTATTTTTAATGTATAAAGTCAGAAAATGTGGCAAATGAGGTTCTTAACCAGAGAAACCAGATGTGAGTTACCTGACTTCAAGGTTTTCACTAGTCCTATGTTTGCACCATTTATAGGAAGCTGTGCAGAAGATGCTGGATCAGGCTGAAAGTCAGGTACTTTCCATACCTTCTTTTTAGATTGGAATTCAGTTATTGTGGCATTTTAACAAGAACGCTGATGCTTCTCCTTTATCTTTGCTAAGTTAATTAATTTACTTCTGAAGCTACTTGTTTGTCTCTGCTAATTTTATAGCCAAGGGATATTTAATAATAAGCAAGTATAATTGATGTTAAAAACATTTCAGTCTTTGAAATTTGTAGAAGGGAAGTGAAATTACAAGGAATCAGCTTGATCTAGAAACTATGGAAATGGTCTTTCATAGCAGTGGGAGTCTCATTTTTCATTTGACCTAGATTGTTTTTTATTTATGTTACTCATATGTATTTGTGAGACATATCAATTAAGGATATTAAACCCAGTATGGACTATTTTAGCTTCAAAGTGACAGTGCTCTGGGGGCAGCTAAGTGGCGCAGGGGATAGAGCACCAGCCCTGAAATTAGGAGGACCTGAGTTCAAATGTGGCCTCAGACCAAACACTTGACACGTACTAGCTATGTGACCCTGGGCAAGTCACTTAACCCCAATTACCTGGAAAAAAAAAAAAAAAGGAACAGTGCTCTGATTTCATTTCGGAGTATTCACTCCACCACTGTTGATTATATCTTATCTATGACATGAATGGTCTCTGAGATTTGCTGTAACCAAAACTTTCATCATCCTGCAGCGGTCCTGGTGTTAAGGCTTTCCAAATCAATTTGGCCGTCTTCAAATGATATATACGTTGTCTGTGTTCAGACTCATGCTCCAAATCTTCCTAGTTTGGCAATACCTGCCAGAGCTGACATTTTTATAGGCTTAGCCTTGAGTCACCTCCATGTCACAATGAAGTATCAGAAGAGAATTTTAATAGAAGTCATCTTTTTTAAAAAGAGTGGAAGTGTGGAAACTTTTGCTAGGTTTCAGCATTTGGGTACTAGAGAAAGGACTTTCTGAAGCTAAAAGAGAAATGGCCTATTTCTAAGGGGAAAAAATTATTATATACTGTTATAGGTTAAATATATTTGGTTGATAATTAAATGCATTGATTTAATCCTCACAAGAAATATTTGGAAGGCAACTTTTGAAATAGCGCCTCCTCGATGGTATTATGTAGATGATAAAATAAATTATGGTTTTATGCAGCTGGAAAATGGTGTCACATGGCATAATCCAGAACCACCAGTGGATTTAAGAGCGACAGAGAAAGATCAAGCTAATTGTCCATTCTACATTAAGACAGGATCTTGCCGATTTGGAGATAGGTAATCTTTAAGTGCATTAAGAAGAAATATATTTGCATAATATCTGGGGATTTTTGAGTGTGAAATGTTAGTACAGTCAACTCATGTTCATTTTTGCGCTTCTCCACCCTATTTCTTTCAGACTAAGGCTGTGGCTGCCTTTCTGCATTTCTGTTTTCTGAGTGAGCTCCTGTCCTGTATTTCCTTTAGTTTTCCTTTGATTATTCCTTATAGATTATTTTTGTATTCAACTGCCTTTTGCTTGCTGGCACAAAAACAATTGATGTCGGGCTGTCATCAAAGGAGACTGGCCATATCCCTTCTTATTTCTGTCTCCAGGATTTCGGGCTCCTGTGATCATTTGGGAGTTTCTTGATCTAGCGCTGGAATGAACCTTGCAAGCTGTCTAGTCTAAGACCCTCATGTTACAGGGAGGACATGACACACAGGTGGTCATGGCCTTGGTCAACAAAGCACTAGGGTTTGAACCTGAGTTGTCTGATCCAGAGTCAGTACTTGGCTTTCTTTTCATAAGTTATTATTTATCATCTCCAAGAGAAATATTTCATAGTATCTGTTAGCCCATTTTAGGGTATAATATTAATATAGTATTATTCTTTTCCCAAAAAGAAGATAGAAGCATTAAATGAGGCATTTTTGGTAGTTGAATATTTCATTATACCTTAATTTGCTTATTAACCTCTGCTCCTTCCCAATAACAGTAGCTCACATTTATAGTGTTTCAAGGTTTACAAAGCACTTTCCTAAGATCCTGCCTTCCTCTTACAATCCTGTTTTCCTTTTAATGCCTGCTTTCCTTGTGATGGATCCTGCCTTCCCAACCAGGTCCCCTCAGACCCAGATTACATTTGCCCTTATTACTGCCTTCTACTGGTGTTCTTCTTCATTGAGAGATAACTGAGTTAGACATGGTCTGGGAGGAACTATCTCTATAGAGCTTTCTAACCTGCTGAAAGCTATATATTTTCCAATTGTTCAGAGTTGTTTATGACTTTGACAGAAGTTGAGACCTGCATCTTACTCTTAACAGAATTTAAATCATTTAGTTAACTGAAACTGCAGCACATTTAACTTAAAACAGGATTGTTATGTGTTATTTTTAAATAAAATGTTTCTATGTATATTTTTTTCCTCCTCTCTATACAGGTGTTCACGGAAGCACAATTACCCAACATCTAGTCAAACACTTCTTATTAGAAGTATGTTCATAACATTTGGAATGGAGCAATGCAGAAGGGATGACTACGATACTGATGCAAGTCTAGAGTACAGTGAGGAGGAAACCTATCAGCAATTCTTAGATTTCTATGAAGATGTACTCCCAGAATTCAAGAATGTGGGAAAAGTTATTCAATTCAAGGTATAGTTAGGTGTGAAGAGGCTGGTGATGTTTTATAAATTAAAATTAAAATTCAACAAACATTTATTAGTTAACTAATAAATAAGTTCAATTTAGGAGATGGCATTCAGTTCAGATAGCAGCTAGTCCAGTTTGTCTGGAATTTAGAATGTGTGAAATAATTGAAATGTGTAATCAGGTTGAAAAAATAAAATTGGGTGGGGGGAGTGTGCAATAAACACCAGACTAAAAAGTTTTTGCCTTATCTGAGTGGCAGTGGGTAACCACTGAGGGTTTTTGAGTAGGGGAGTGACATGGTTAGACTTCTGCCTTAAGATTATTTTATTAGCTGTGTAATAACTAGATTGGAATGGGGAGAGACTGGAGGCAGACAGGCCAATTAGGATACTCCTAGAATCTTCTAGATTAGTATTGAGATGTAAATAGACAAAGAAGGAACATAGGACAGATGTTGTGGAGGTGGAATTGACAGGACTTAGCAACTTATAAGATATGGAGAAAGGAGACAACTTACAAGATATGGAGAAAGGAGACAACTCAAGGCTGTACTCCTTAGGTTTCATGCTTGAATAGGGATGCTATTAACCCAGAAAACAGGAGTTTGGAAGAGGCTGAGTTTAGGTTGGGCAGATGATGAATTCAGTTTGGGTGCAGTTCTAAGGAAAGTGAGATGGATTTGGGGCATGGGGTTGGAAAAGGAGAAACAAAATATGGAAAAAAAAATTGTGTATACAGTGCTTAACAAAATTTATTTTATATATATATATATAAACATACGCGTGTGTGTGTACACACACACACGCACACACACACACACACAAACACACAGAGAGTCATATACCAAATTCATCACTTTAACTATCAGAATGACCAGACCTGGAATAAAAAGGATAATATAAATGAACAGGCCCATTAGAATATAATCTCCTTTAGGGCAAGAACTGTTTTTTACTTTCTTTGTGACTACAGTGCCTAGCATAGTGCCCTGCACATAGTAGGAACTCGGTAAATGCTTATTGAAGAGTGTATTTTAAAATCCTTTTGAGAGAATCAATGGGATGCTTTCTTGTCAGTGTTGCATTTGTTTTGATAAAGTTGATAATCATTTTGTGCAGCCTGGACATATCATTTGGCATTTTTATTATATCTCCTTGGATTTGTTTTTCTAGTTGTAGAATATTTCTGTTTTTCTTAGGTCAGCTGCAACTTTGAACCTCATCTAAGAGGAAACGTATATGTGCAGTATCAGTCGTAAGTATGCCAACCTTGGGCTCTTTTGGAGCATGGTCATATTGTGCTTGAGTTCTGAGAATTTGCTACCAAATGATAAAATATGGATTTTCGGATCATACAATAAATTGGTGGTGGGTATGAAAAATTAATTTAACATGCCAGACAATTCAATATATAAAACATTTATAATCAAGTTTTAATTTTTAGTATCCAGGATGGCAGTTAACTGTCTAGACCTCTGTTATGCCTTTTGGGCTATACCAAATATTGTAGTAAGACTTATTGAGCCTATACTTAAAAATATCCTTTTGATTGGTAGAATTTTCTAACATAAGTAACTCATCGATGCTTCTGAAAAAGTATTTTAATCTTTCAAAACTGAATTTTCTTTTAATGTCTTTGCTATGCAGTAGGGAAGGCAAATCATAGATTTGTTCCATTTTTTATTAATTACACTAATGGCAGACAATGTGGAAAAGTGAAAAGAGCACTAAGTCTAGAGTTAATAGACATAAGTTTGAGTTCCAGCCAAATCATAGATTTAGGGCAAGTGAGTACTCACTGGACCTCATTTGTAAAATGTCCTCCCTACTTTATGGGGTTGCTGTAAGGCTCAAATGAGATAATGTAAAGTACTTTGTAATTTGTAAAACGTCATACAAATATAAAATGGTGGTGGTGTAATAAGGATCTATTAGTTGGTGAAGAAGCTTGGTCCTAGATCAACTTCCTTGCCAGAGGCATCTTAGAGTTGTGGAGAAAAGCTTTGTTCCTAGGCAGCTTTGAGGTTGATAAGCAGGGATGTCCTGGTGTAGGGTTACCTACCAGAAAATAAGGCATAGGCTGGTAAAATGTAAGTCATCTATTTCCACCCACTTGGGTTTTCTCTTTGTTGGGACTTTTTGTAACTCAAGGTGGAAACTATGGGAGGGACAGGATGTAAGCGGTCAGAGGACTTCATTTTTTTGTTTTGTTTTTTTTTAAAGTTTAGAGGTTTTAGGAAGCAATTAAATCATTAAAAAATTTGTAGGAATGATACTAATCTGTAGTTAGAAAACACCATTCCAGTGGATAATAGGAATAATGAACCAAGTTAAATTGTTCTTTTGCTAACTCATAATGAAGTTTAATCCAATGTGAATAATTTGGATTTACATGAAATACCATTTTTAATTTTTTATTTAAAGGGAGGAAGAATGTCAGGCAGCATTCTCTGTATTCAATGGACGATGGTATGCAGGACGACAGCTTCAATGTGAATTCTCACCAGTAACACGGTGGAAAATGGCTATTTGTGGTAAAGTAGATCATTATAGTTTAAAAAGTTGTAAAAGGGATCATGGGACACTAGCTCTAAAGCTGGAAGGGACGTCAGAGGTCATTGAGTTTATGTTTGTCAACTTAAAGACGAGGAAATTTAGTCCCAGAGGAGTTAAATAACCTGTCCGAGATCACAGAAGTACAAAGGGCAGTCAGGATTTGAATTCAGGACCTCTGACTTCAAATCCACCAAAGGAAAACTGTTTAGGATTGTCAGCTGGGATGGAATCAGCCTCGGGGGTGGCCTGCCTGAACAGTGTAGGTTAGAGACAGAGAGTCAGGAATCAAGCAAAAATTTAATTTCAGAGTGAGGGAAATGGCTTGCAAGCAAGGACATTGCTGGAGCCCTGCCCTTACTGGGGGAACCTGCTTTAGTGTAGGCAGATCTCAATACTTAGATGGCTATTCAGAGATCTGTGGGCTAACATTGTAGCAACATTTGTGACAAGTTTGATTTACACAGGGCTTCATGACTAGAACATGGATGCAGCAGGTGTTGTCCGAGCTCAGAAAACACCTGGTGCTGGTCAAACCAATACAATAATTATGATATAATTCTGCGATTTTGCTATGGCTAGATCATCCAGACGGTGAATGCAAAGGATTGTTATTATGTCGAGCTCAGGGCACAGCTTACTTGCTGGGCCTTAGCTCTGGAAAACAGGATATCTTATCTTGAGAGGAGAAATTTCTTGAAAAGGAAATAAAACTAAAGGAATGCCTTTTTATATGCAGAACAAAATGATAGACATTGGATTGTTAATGGGGTAAGGAATTGTAGTGATCATCTAGTCCAGTGATTTCTGAAAGTTTTTGGTCTCTTAAAAATGATCAAGGATCTTCCAAAGAGCTTTTGTTTGTGTGTGTAATATCTGTATTTATTATATTAGACATGAAAACATCCTAGTATTATGAAAATAGTTTTGACCTCAAGGGCCCCCTGAGTCTCTGGGGTTCACTATGCCCCCTAGTTTTAAACCTTAAGACACGGGGAATCAAACCAAAGAATCAGGATTCTACCTGTCATTGGTTCCTCTCAAGGGAAGAGCATCAGATGGACCATTATTGTTTTGAATACAGTGCATAAAAGGCACATACACACTTTTTTCATTGGGAGAAGATTATTTTTTAAAAACTCATTTAAAGTTTTCAACACATATACACTTTTGTAAATGAACTTCATGTTAATTCCCTTTGTAATGAAAATAATTGCTCTCTAGTTCAGCTCTCATAAATGAAGATCATCTTAAATCCCACACGTTTATCCTCTAACATAGAAGAAATAGCTTGTCAAATTAACAAAATTACTTTTATTGTAAAAGGCAAAATGATAAGGGTTTGGCAGTCTTTTACCTGATTAAATGCAACTTTTTTCTAGTAAAACTTCAAAACCACAAATTTTGTTGGAAGGAAATGGGATTGATTTACCAAAGAATTTATGTTAAAGTAAGCGCAGTAGTTTTTACTTGTGTCAGTGTCTGTTACGTAAATAGTAAAGAAAATGCCAAAAGAATCAGAGATGGAAAAAAATATAAGATTGTAATCTGGTATTATATTGTAATTCATTGGTTCATATCAGCATTTACGCATATTTACAACACAGTAGTAGTTGTCCTAAAGCATTGCAAGATCTAGAAATACCTGCTAAATTATTAAAATAGAATTATGTTCTGTGATTTTAATAATTTTATTATATTCTAATTCTTTGAAAATTATTAATCTATGTATAGTATATGTGATGATCCAAATGCTGAAGTAATCAGCAAATTTAATTCCCCTACTGTCGTGGACAAGAAGTTACCATGATTTGATGCCTGCTTGTGCTCCGTAAGTTTTTACTCTAGGTGTTTACAATCTGGCAACAATGGCAAGTAGGTGGCTCAGTGCATAGAGTGGTGGACCTGGAATCAGGAAGACCTGAATTCAAATGTGACCTCAGATATTAGTTGTGTCACCCTGGGCAAGTCATTTAACCTCTGCTTGCCTTAATCCAGTGGAGAAATAAATGGCAAACTGCTCCAATATCTTTGCCAGGAAAATCCCATGGACAGTATTGATGTGTGCTGTGTTCCATGGGGTCACGAAGTTGGGGCACAACTAAAGAAATCTTTTCCCTTCCACATTTTCACCTTTTGTTGAAAAGTGTGGGCAGTTAGCAGTCATTTAAAACCTAGCCCCAAATTAAATTTCACCCACTCACACTTGTTCATATGTGCCTAACCCCAGTTCTGTCTGGACTGACTCATTATTTTGCCCCCTCATGTTTTGATTGCTTTATGTGTGATTGTAAATTTACGAGTACCTTCTTAGCAGCTCTTAATGTAAATATAAGTTGTTTTGAATACTTGAGTGAAATATACTACCTAGCAAGAATTCTTAGAATGGGTCTGATGGTGCTTTTTTAGAAGCTATAGTTATCATAGCATTTTTTTTTTCAAAGCCGCTTTCTTTTCCTGGATGGAACTGGCTAAAAGATCAGGTGATTTTCTTCTGTCAACCGTGCACAATCCTTCACCTGATTAACTTCCAATTCAGTACTCTTATTAAATTCCACTGTCATTTGAAGTTTAGATACCACTTTGTGGACATACCTGTTGTCTTCCACTTTACCAGGAACTACCATTATGCTACTATACTGTCTTTCTGCCAGGTTTCTTGCTTACTTTAATGACTTGCCCCAAGTCACAGAGCTGGTAGGTGGCAGGACTGATTGGGATTGGAGCCCAAAGTTTCTAATTCTTGGTTCCATGCTCCTTTTACATTGCTGTGAAGATTTCCACTCCATAAGGATCCCAAAACTTGATAATTTAAATATTTCACTCTTTTTTAATTGCAAATTTGTTATAGGCAATTGTTTGATTATTCCCCCAATGAAACAATCACTAATTGTGCTATGGGTTGTTTTTGTGTACTTTTATTACCCAGATTCCATGGTAGGGGGGATAAAAGTCATTAAAACACTTGAAATAAAAGTCCTAGGCAAAAGCAAATGATGTGAGGTACGTATTAATAACTACTTTTTCATTATCTCTTTTCATTATTCATTACATTTCATTATCTATTTCATTATAGGTTTATTTGGAAGGCAAAAGTGTCCAAGGGGGAAGCACTGTAACTTTCTTCACGTATTCAGAAATCCCAACAATGAATTTTGGGAAGCTAATAGAGACATACATATGTCTCCAGATTGGAGTAATACTTCATTTGGTAAAAGCTCAGAAAGGAGAGATAGGACAGGTTACCATGAGGAATATTATAGCAGATCAAGGAGACGGCGAAGTCCCAGTCCAGATCATTCTTATAAAAGAAATGGGGAATCTGAGAGGAAGAAAAGTAATCACCATAGGAGTAAGAAAAAATCTCATAAACATTCCTCCAAAAGTCACGAAAGGCGACGTTCACCAAGTAGAGGAAGAAAGCGGGGTCGGAGCCGGAGAAGCAGGAGCCAGAGCAGAGGCCGGAGAAGCCAAAGCAAAAGTGCGTCCAGGTCTAGGAGTCGGGATAGGAAGAGGTCATCCAGCAGAGACAGAAATACTTAAATCACAAACAGAATACATTTTTTTCATACTGAGACATGTTGATCTCAAGTAAATGTATCTTTTAGGGCTGCCAGTTACTTTTCTCAATTTAAAACCAGCTTTTCAAATCCAAAATTGTCCTGTATTATAAATGCAACTCAAAAGGTAATTTTTCAACCAGAATTGCTAAAGGTGTTTAGAACTCAGTTTGGATTTTTATAAGTCTAATCCAACACTCTTGGCTCTTTAAAAAAAAAAAAAAAAAGAAATTCCACCTTCTCCTAACTAGAAAGCTAGATCTTTTCTAGCTGTGTTCCCTTATAATAGATACCTGGCTGTTTGGGATAGACTGAAGTTGAATCACTTCCACTACAGCTACTGAATATTCTTGTTTACAGCAGCACCAGTAACACAACTGTCATTTATAATAGATTGAACAAAAGGGATAATAAAGTTGAGAAAGGGAAACTAATTTTGCTTTTGCCTTAACACCATAGCAAGCACCATAGCTTGAAATGGAAATGTTGCTCTTGGTTTTCTTATTAGGAAAAGCTTTCCCTTTGCAAGATACACAGCTTTATTCCTACTAATAACTATTTCAGAGTGGAAATAGCGAGGAAATTTGATTAGGATGAGACTTATAAAATGTTTTACATGAAACAAAGCAGAGGAAGTGGAGAAATGGCTATTTTAAAAGTTGGATATGGCATGGAAGTTTTTTAACTTACCTTCTGTGAAAAGAACCTAAGTGGTAGACCATGCTGCTTATTTTATAAATCTTGATCTTCCAGCTGTTTTCTGAAGCAGGACTGACTGTTCATGTTACTGAAAATGCTCTGTTTTTACTACAAAACTATTTTGTAACCGACTTTCAATAATGAATATTGTTTTGCATATGACTTTCTCCCAAATAAGTGTACATACATGATTAAATAACGTGAAACTTGTAATTTTGTCTTAACAGTCCATTAAAAAAAAGTTAGCCATTTGATCTGGAAATGGTTATAAAATGGTTTTGGAGATAACTTGATAATATGCAATATTATCTAAGGGACAAATATTTTGTTTCTCTGCCCTTCCTCTTTCCCACCCTCTAACAAACAAGTTACACTTGAACTGGTTGTTCAAAATCTTCAATTTTCCTTGATTAAATTTTCTTAAAGGAAGGCCCAGTCTTGCTTGAGGTACCTAGATGAATTTGAAAATTGAAAAGCTGTTTGCTTTTTTTGCTCGTTTTGTTTTTCAAACATCCTGGCCCAAACTAATTTATTTAAAGCCTGGACAAAATGGAAATGTCGCTTGTTTTCTATTTCAAGGATCTGTGGTTTCCATTGATACAAACTGTAAATCCTTTTACATCTTCAGTAGATAGTCTTAAGTTGCTTCTCTGAACTTGACCAGATCTTGGAGAAGGCACAGTGTTCACCACCAAAATATATGAACATTTTAAGTTTTTCCAGAGTAGTAGAAACTCTTAGAACTTGTGTTCTGCTGCCATGGCCTTCAAGAACCCCAAAGACCACCTTACCACATAGGATTATGGAATTTTCCAAACATGGTAAGACTGCTCATTTAAATTTATTAAAAAACTTCAAGTGTTGGTGATTTGATTCACTTCATATGTACAAGCTAATTCTCTGAGGACATAAATTAATCTCTGGTTACCATTTTTCTAACTAGCTTTTTTGTACAGCAGAAGAACTGAACAAAAAGCTATTATGATGTGGTAACTTCTGAAAATCATCATTTATTCAAGATAAAAACTCTGGTTTTATTTTTATTTGAAATGTTTATGTAAAGATGCTCTTTCAGAAAGTACAGATTAAGTGTATAGAAGTGTAAATGTTGCTATTTATTGTTTTGTAAAATAAATGTAAATAATTCAAAGAGTGCTTTGGTAGTGTGCTTATATTTAATAAATTTGAAGTGTTTTGTGTGAAAACCTAATTCAAATCTACTTTGTGTTCACTTGTAACAAGACTATGTTTAATGAAATTTATTTTTATTTCCATTTTAAGAAAGGAGCTTAACATATTTATGTCTCATTGGAATCTCCCTCTCCAGCAGCTCTCTACTAACAAACCTTTGGATAGAGATAAACACACTGCAATGGTGTAAGAGTGGACATTTATTATAACTAATGTATGTGATAAGACAATGATCACAGCCTAAATATTGGTCACAATCACAAAGCTTAATCCAGCCAAGCACATACAAATAAGTGAAAGTGTAAACCTTGAAGACATGTTTAAATACATATGAAAATGGTATTGAAACTGAATTGTAACAGCTTTAAAAAAAATCCCCCATTGCCATTTTACCTCATCCAGCTAATATTTTTTACACGAGAGTAGATGTATGTATTGATATATATGATGACTATTTTCTGACTAGGAGGTGGCATGAAAGGAGGAAAATGTCAAACTAGTGGTACTTCATAAAAAAAGTATAGGGAAAATTTAGTTAACCAGAATAAATACTAACAGTGGAGCAAACTTAGCCATGTGATCACTTTGTGAACACAGCCAAGGTTTATTTGAGATAGCGATAATACTAGGCAAATTAGCATTTTGATTTATAACATCCTATGTAAATAGATGTTTTCTTTAGCTCATGGAAAAATGAGGTAAACAGTGGCAGTATAATGTATCTGGGGGCATAAAGATAATCCATTCAAGTTATAAAATTATGCTTAAAGGAATCTTACATAGAAAATAATGTCTAACCATTTTCATAGTGTACATTATGTGCTCATATTGGAATATATTAACTTCGGTCCAAATTCCTGCCTTCAACTAACAGTCAAGGTAAAACAGGATTGTTCTGATTAAAGTAATCTATATTCCCTTTAATGTAATATCCCTTTAGTCTCAGAAATGTACGTTTTTCAATAAGCTACCAGATATGTAGTTCCCAATAAGTATCTTTGGTATACATGTATATGTTTAAGTTTCAGCGGTAATGTTAAAATTTAAATCATTTTGATATGTAAAATCAGTCAATTTTTCTCATTCCCATAAATACTGAAATGTAACACTAGTCTTTGGTTGCATATAACCATATTGAAACATTATTACATTTACTTTTAAGTCGATACAAGTGTAGCTTCCTTTCAGTTGAATGCAGTAATAGCAACAAATGTGCTTCCTGACTGTGATTTTACGTGTATATTCATAATTATCACATACAAATAAAATTAATGGGAAACAATTCAACCTTTGAGAATACCAAAAAGATATTTCTTCTGCATCAAGTTTTAGTTAACATTTAAGTCCCTTTAAAAAAAAAATAATACTTTTTATTCCCTTTTGAAAAAGTGGAGTGTTTTTATGTAGGCCTGAATGAAGCGGCTTAGCAAAACAGTAATACTGACAAACAGCATCTTACACCATTAGCTAAACATTGACATGAAGGCAGTGAACATCTACAGTATGTGAGACCACATGATGTCATCAACATGGGAGATGGCTTATGTCAGTCCAATTTCTTCAAGAACACTACGTGGGGTTTCAGCTTCCTGTGAAGGGAAAATTCAAGAGTCTGGTAAGCTGATCTTGTGGGTTTTAGAATTTTAAGACTGTTCTGCGAAGAATTTGCATGGGAAAATGCTTATTTGAAAGCCAAAAAATTTTAAATGCCAACTGTGAGTAGCAAGAAGAAAAAGGCATTTTTAAAAATATTACTGAAGCAATGGGTCATATGTACTTACAGTAGCTTTCAACCTTTATGGCTCAAAACATTTTATATAGGATGAGATCATGAAACACAGAGAGTTTAACTAAAACAGTTAAAAACAAGACCACTGAAAAGTAAATTCAGTCAAATTTCTCCACCTGAACCAGCAGAACTAGTATCCCAACTTCCCTTGGTGTTTTCATGTAATTCAGATCATTATTTGCTCTGATTGTAACAATGGAAATCTTTTTCATGTCTTTTGGAGTTGGTATCTTATGTTATTTTAAAACGTCAACATTTAACATCTTCAATAACCACTGTCAGAGCTATCCAGAAGCAAACAACATTGGTAGAGGCAATGTATAGCAACAAGATATCAGAACAGCAAAAATATATACAAATTAATTTCATAAATCCCACAGTTAGGACTAGGACAAAGCAAGTATCTTTTGAAATTGTCAAAGTTGGTGACAAATTTTTAAACTATTTATACAATAGGTTTTGATTTACTAGCAACAGTTTTATCAAAAGGGAATACTGCATCTTTATGGAAGCAAGCACTCATAAATTTTATATGCACTTATGACCAAGTAAACTTACTTTAGCATCCTAAAACATGGTACAGCACAAAGCAAGGAAAAAAAAAATATTAAACAGTAAATCTTTAAAAAATAACATCTTTAGACGACACATTATAAAGTTTTATGTTCAGTCTGAATACAGGTACTTTGCCACATAAACCAACCTTTAAGAATAAGTATATATGCTTTTTGATATTTTATTATGTTTATGTGCATTGATGTGTGTAGAAGCAGGTATATTTTGTTATTTGTGAAAGGGAGTATTTAGTAAAGTTTGTTCATTGTCACTTGTGAAAATAACAAAATTTAGGGGATGGCTATAAAATGTTAAAATGGGTCAGAGAATAACTGAACAAATTCATTTAAAAATTCTAAGAACTTACTCTATCATAATGACTAGGGGGGATAAATGTGTACATACATACACACTCACATATACACACTTTTTTTTCCTGCTCATCACTCCAGCCCATTAAGTCATAGTCTACACTATGCATGAAACCCAACCAATTTTAGCACTATGCTGGATACACCTACTCAGTTAAAAACTACTATTATAGACCTATTCCTTGGAGCTAGTAAGATCCTTTCTATGTTTCACTTTGCTATCTTAGATTATTTGCTGAAAACCAACAGATTTTTTAAAACATTTTCCCAACACTTGAACAAATACAAAATGTGCATTTCTTCATTTGGATTACAGTAGTTAATGTACAACAGAGGTATCAATCTCTTGAGTATTGCCCAAAGCTGGTTAAAATGTAACTGAGAAATGTTTAACAAAATAAAAGTAAATATGACATAATGTTATTTTGTGGTTTTCTATGTTATTATTCAGCCTGCAAGGATCCATTTCTCTTTGAGTTTGACCTCACTGATGTAGAATACACTTTTCAAAATTTATATACAAACATACACATATACACACATATAGGTACATATAAAACATTACCTGGACACACTGAAACCTAAAACATTCTCCTGGGTAGATGGGATAAGGTGGAGAAGGAAAGCCATTCACATGAGACAGGGTGCATGCAATATTTTTATTTTAGACATGCCAAGAAAACTATTTCAGAATGTAGTCCTTTAAAGCAAGCAGCTATATACAAAGAACAAAAAGCAACATTTTGGTTCAGCTCAGCACACAGCCATTTTTAGCCAACAGGCATAATAATGTGCATGTTAACATTACATTAAATACTGTATTACCTTAAAAAATAATTCTTAAAAAATACTATTAACTAGGTCCTAAAATACAATATTTTCCCAATCTGATTAACCCTTTTGTGATAGTACAAATATTATTTTATGATTAAAAACACAAATAACTTAATTCCTAATGACCTGCCTAACCTACTTTGATAGGCTCTGTCACAATGATTAGTTTGATTAAATAATCATTTTGAAGGTGATTATGCTTCTTAATGGCCTACTGATTTACTCTTCATAGTTTCCATGAAACTATATGGAATTTTTCCTTCTGAAATATAATATATATTGAATTAAAAGCCTATATAATATTGACCAGTGAGCATGAAAGTTTTAATGTATTTCAAATATATAAAATCAGAACTATCAAAATGTACATTTAGACTTTTCATCTAAAGGTGCTGTCCCTATAAATATAAGCAGTAGTAAAAGTTTTGAAAGAACCATTATTGTTTAATACTAGCTAGTATCCAGTGCAAAAAGACAATAATTAAATCATTCAGCAAATGCAGAATTCTACCCTTCTGCATACCAGTTTAATGAAAGATAAATCATTTTTTGTGTTAACCACTGTACTATAACATGCCTTGGAGTTTCAATTTATATTTTTCCTTTGTTATTTCTACATATACTTAAATATGTAGAGTTATAGGATACATTCATTATGCAATCTGAGATTATCATTTTGAAAAAAAAAAAAAAATACTATTCTACATACCAGTACTGCTGGTTTGGGTTTAGCTTTAGTGGGCCATATGCCACTATGCTACTCATTTTGGCTATATTGGAAACATTTTAACTATCAAATTAATCACAGATGGTTGGTTAATAACCAGCATGTGCTTAAGATGAAAACTTTACTAAAAACATACACACGTCATATATTTCATGAAAAAAGATTAAACCAGATAACGACAGAAACAAACTACATCAAGATGACATGGGGAAAAAACAATGTAAATGTGGGGGTGTAAATAGGGAAAACAAAGTACAACAGTAAAATGGTTATGCTTTCTATCTTCAAGATGATTTGTTTCACCAGCTGTTCTGTCATAAGTAAATCAGTTCTATTTCCTCTGTGAAATTCTGCATACTCGATGAGTGATGTCATTTAGTACACAGGGACATTAAAGTATTCATGGCGTGGCTACGAAAGAAATGCATACACTCTTATATATGGTACACAAATGGACATATAACACAATATTAATTCTATTTGGATGTTCTATGTCTCATACAGTTACCATATACTAACATTTCATTTAGGAGGCTATATATTCATCTAATAAAAACCTCAATTAACTAGAATGAGGGGAGGGGGAAAATATGCATTGATTTTCAGGAAAACTAGGTAAATTAAAGAAACACTGAAAAATGGATTTATCTATTCATTAAAACTTCTGAGGGATGTTCCGGAGACAAGACATGTTCATTTTAATCTTTTATGCTTACAATAAAATTATACAATCAGAGAACTTTAATACTAGAAGAAATGTTAAGGATAATATAGTACAATCCTGTCATTTTACAGGTGAGGAAAGTGAGGACCTGAGAAGTGACAAAAACTATCTCTCACCTAGATCTTCTGACTCCCAGTCCAGCATTTTCCCCAACCTCTCTTATTGTAACAATGGGCATTAATGTTCAAAAATATAGCACTGAAACACTGCAAGATCCTGACGCATCTAAGTAGGATTCAATTATGTTAGCTACAATTATGTTAGCTACATAGCTGAAGCAGGAAAAGTCGACTAATAAGTTTTGGAAAGATTTTCAACAAGAGTTTTCTGATCAATGCTGAGTCAACTGGAAAATTCTGCCAAAATGCACCCATTAAGTGCTCCAGTTAATCAAGGTTTTATTATACTTAGGAAGGGAATTTAATCTCAATGAAAACAATTAGAACTTAAGGTGGCTATAAATCTCTTTACAGATCAAAAAGGAAAATCTTTTCCCAAGAAAAAAACTACTCACTCACCTGGCATTTTAAGCTGCAAAAGAGCCAATTTCTTTTTTTTTTTGAATTAGGAAAAAAAAAGGCACAATGCAACTACTGCATTACATTAAGAATGTGTTCTTAAAGATTTGGGAATATAATTTTCTTAAAGAGGAATTATATAAAGAATTCCCTTAGTTGTATTAACCAGGATTTAAAAATACCTATGTCTGCAAATTTGCCAAAGAATGTTTTTTTCATTAAAGATAATGCATGAATCCATGACAGTTTGTGTTCCCAACTAAAAGTGGCATTTTCAAAGTGTCCATAGTCTCATGCTAACTCAATTTGAGATCCCTTTGCAACTGTAAAATCACTTAATAAAACATGCACCCATATCTGATATTCCTTCTTAGAATGTCTGAGAATGAAATGCTGAAGTTTTAGCTCAGGTAGTTCCTGGTCAATTTTGGACATGTTTTTATTTTTTAAGCAGGGTAGAACTATACCTAAATGAAATGAAGTAGAATGGAAAAAAAAAATCGAGACAGTGTTTAGTGTTTTTTAAGGTGAATATAAAATGCTAAAACTAAGATGGGAAAGCAACTGTAAATGAACAAAGCAAAAACAGGCATTGAAGATATTCCCCTTATTTTCATAGGACATTCTGTTTTTGTACAATCAGCATACCTATAGTTTGTGGGTATCTGGGAATTGATAACATTTACATTACTTTATGAAAAACAATCATTTCAGAAAAAAATTTACAGAATGTAAGTCAAGTTACATTAAAGCAAAATCTTGTGTGTAATATACAGATGACCATAATATAAAATGAAAATTAAAAGGAAGCCTAGCTCTGAGTAATTGTAATGACTGATCTTGATCCCAGAATAGCTTAACCTACTCTTCCCTCCTCTGAGGAGGAAAGAATGTTTCACACAGTATTAGACAAAGTAACTCTATTGATTGTTTTTTCGTTGCTACAAGGGAAAATTCAATGGTGGTTTGCGAAGGGATGTATCTGGAAATGATTAGGATACACGGATACACACACACACACACACACACACACACACAAAATCAATAAAACATTAAAAACCCTCCAGTATG